ACAGTGGCATCTTTACATCTGAACAAATTTTAACAAAGGAACTCCATATTTACATAGGGTATTAAATGTAAATATTACCTTCTTCTTTTTAAACAAAATAATTTGGTCTTATAAACAATTTTAAAAGTGACAAAATACAAAGACTTTTGCTATTCATTTGCCCTATTATGGAAGAAAGTGAAATGGAGATTCAATTGGGAAGTGAGGTATTAATCAACTGTGCAACTTTGGACAGAAAACTTAAATTCTGGGCCCATTTCATTATCAATCACGGAGGGGTTGATATAGGCTAGTTTAGTTTCCAAGTCATTTTCAGTTCTACTGTCCCCCATGTCTTAGGTTAGGGACTAAACCTTAATAGAGCTCTGTAATTCCCCTCTTCCTTGGGTATCCATAGAACCAGGCATGGATCCTCTGGGAACTTGTAAAATGAATAGATTTAGAAAGTAAACAAAATCAGGGGTCGTTAANATCCTCTGGGAACTTGTAAAATGAATAGATTTAGAAAGTAAACAAAATCAGGGGTTGTTAACTGCCAGCCCCCATCTCCCTTCCCTACCCAACAACACACACACACACACGCACAGTGCATTACAAAAAATTAGCATGCAATCATTGAGGAACTCTTCAAACCACTCAAGGTCAATGACTGCAACCACAGTATAAAGCTCAGATATTGTCCNACACACACACACACACACACACACACACACACACACACACACACACAGTGCATTACAAAAAATTAGCATGCAATCATTGAGGAACTCTTCAAACCACTCAAGGTCAATGACTGCAACCACAGTATAAAGCTCAGATATTGTCCCTGTTCAGCAGAGTCCTCCCTAATCTTCTTGCCCAGCTCTCCTCAGCCCCATTTATACCCTACCTCACCAGTTTGGGAGTCAGGAGTGAAATACATAGTGGAAAATTAAACCCAGAAAGATTATTTATTCCCAAATGTGAAATTTAGATTAGAATCACGTTTTATTAGTAGAAACCTATTGTCCCAAAAATCTGTTTTTGTTGTTTAACTACTATAGCCCTTCTCTCTAGGTTAATGATCCACATTTGAAGGGTTTGGGGGCAATTTAGTACTTCAGTGTCTCCTCCCTTTTTCTGACACTGCTACCTATTGGGAAGTTTTTTCTCAACCAGCTGATGAGAAACTGGAAAGACACTTAAGAGACAGTAGTAGCCTGGTCCACACTTGACCAGCAGGGTTCCTGGTGTGACTGTATACATAAGGGTTTGAATGTTACTTTTGGGTTCCTGATGTCAACAATTATCAGGAGGTATATAGGTTTTCTTGCTTTCTCCTTTTGATTTTAAAAGTTACTTTTGAGAGATGTGTTTTACTTGGGAAAGAATAATATTAATGTATGCAGAAGATGAAACACATAATACTGATCTTTATGACACACTATGTTAAGAGATCCCACCGTTTAAAACTGTCTCTTCCAAAACAATCCAAGTAAAAAATGGGCAAAGGACTTGAATAAACATTTTTCAAAGAATATATACAAATGGCCAATGAGCACATGGAACGATGCTCAACATCACCAACCCTTGAGGAAACACAAGTTGAAACCACAAAGAGATCTCAATTCACACCTATTAGGATGGCTACTATCAAAAACAAACAAACAAACAAAACCTCCAGAAAATATCAAGTATTGCTGGGGTTGTGGAGAAAAGGGAACTCTTGTGCACTGCTACTGGGAATGTAAAATCGTGCTGTCAGCTGCTACGGAATCAGTATGATAGTTCCTCAAAAAAAAAATAAAATAAATTAATTAAACATAGAGCTAACATATGATCCAACAATTCACTTCTAGGTACCCAAAAAGAAGTGAAAGCAGGGGCTCGGGCAGACATTTGCACACCCATGTTCGGAGCAGAATTATTCACAGTAGCTAAAATGTGGAAGCAGCCCAGTGTCCGCTGAATGAATGAACAAAGTGCGGTATGTCCATACAATGGAAGATTACCCGGCCTAAAAAGGAAGGAAATTCTGACACAGGCTACAACATGGATGAACCTTGAAGACAAGCGCTAAGTGAATTAAGCCAGTCACAAAAAGGCAAGTACTGTATGATTCCCCTTACAGGCGGTATCTAGAGTAATCAAAATCACAGAGACCGAAAGCAGACCAGTTGCCAGGGGCTGTGGGGGAGGCGGGGACAGAGAATGGGGAGTCATTGTTTAACTGGAACAGAATTTCAATCTGAGAAGATAAAACAGATCTAGAGATAGATGGCGGTGATGGCTGCACAACAGTATTAATATACTTAATGCCATAGGATGATACACTTAAAAATATTTAAAATGGGAAATGTTATAATATATATATTTTACTACAATTAAAAAAAAAAGCCTCCTGGAACCTTTGTGGTAGTGGCAAAGATCGAGTATAGGCCACCTTTTCCTCATGCCACCAAGGAAATAAAAGAAAATGGCATCTGAGTACCCACTACGTACCACGCACTTGCGTATCTACAACAAAAGCAAAAACAAAATAAAAATCAATGAAACCAAACCAAACAAAAAAACCACCTCCTTGAACAGGTACGATCAACCCCTCTTTACAATGAAGAATCTAAGGTTTGTAAGTCAACACCAGGTCAAGTAGTAAGAACCAGCAGCAGGATTCAAAGGCAGGTCTGCCAACTCCGCAAGCCTGCGCTCCTTTCAGCCCATGCTGTTCTTTCCTTCTGCCCGCAGTTGTCTTTCTGAACAGGCTTTCTGCTTTGACTATAGAGCTTTTATACTTAAAAGTTGGGCCTGCCTTCAGAAGTAGGCTAAAAAAGTCAGTCAACCAAATACATTCACTGCATGCCTACCATATGAGGCCCAGGGCTGGCTATGAAATAATAGAGTCATGTTTCCTCTCAGCCATTGGCCATATGGCAGAAAAAAAACATTCAATTAAAATTTCAGTGTTGGTCGACTCCCTCAAAAGCCACTGAGCACCCTGGACAAAAGCATTATGTCTTTCACTATTCCATATGGCCAGAATAAGAGGAAATAGTCTCATTTTACAGCATAGGAGCATTTTCCTCTTTTTTCCCAAACCTTTTACCATTATAGTTACTGATCTGCTGTTACTCGCTAATGTTGTGCTTCAAGCTGGAATTTAACCATTAAGGAAATGTTCTGTGCTGTTCAGAAAATAGGCACCTCTTAGTTTTCTGAAAGAGAGCAGGGGGCTCTCCTGACTCTCCAGTGCCTATGGGCCAAGATTTTATTTTCTTACTCTGATGTGAAACACAGAGAGAAGACAAGTGCAGACTGTCTACACACCCCCAAACAAAGCAGAGTGTTGGCATTATCCAGTGAATACAGCCCGTAGATGAGTAACAGATGGTGAGCCCCATATTCATTCATACAGCCCAGATCCCCAACTTTCTACTTCACTTAATGACAGGCAGCTTAATGATCAGAGAACTCCAGTTAGGAGGATAGCTTTACCGGTTTTCTGCAGGAGGCAAATGGGAAGCAGAACGGTGGAATACGTGGCGTGACTTGTTTTGCCCACAGATTTGGTTAAATGCAATGAATCTGCCAGGGGAGCTCTGTGGTTTCAACACCAGCAATATTTTGCCTCTTAGACATAGCGCAGGTTTAATTTAAAAAGGAACCTTGGAAAAGTAGACATTTTTTTTCCCTTTTGTAGAGAAATATTCTTCTCTCTCAAAATGGGCTGCTATACCACAAAATTTGAGAAGCCAAATCAATTTCATAAAATGGCATTTAACAAACCCTATAGCTCTTCACAGTTGAGATGGTGATACATGGGGAGGCATATACACTCTCAATGGCTTATTTAGGGTTTAAAAACCTGTATTTAAAGAATTTCTTAGTGTCTAAATATGATCTTTTTATTATTTTTACTCTACTAGAAGCACTTCTTTCTGCCCTTTGAAAATTTATCTCCTTTTATTCTAATAACTCAAGAAAAACCTTTTATCAATGACCATTTATTGCTTAACCACACTTTCTTTGGGAGACAAAGCTTAATTTTTAAAACCAGCTGCACTAGGGTATTAAACTCTTTCTCCAACATATGATGCCAAAGGAATCCACAATCTCATTTCCTATCCGTTAGACCTAGTTAATGCACTTTTACATATCATTCATAAATATGAACAAGCCACGGGCACAGACTCTCATTAAGAGCATCCATTGCTGGAGAAAATCAAAGAATAAAAATCACGTTCCGGTTTTGCTCTTTCACAGGTAAGGAAACAACCCAGCCACACGTTTACATTTTATCCCTCGCTGAAATTAATATGCATCTTGACCTAGAGATGAATAAAATTCATATAAACATAAAACCCATGTATACGCTGGTATCTCATTCGGGGCAAGTTAAACCTGCCACCCTCCTCTGAGAAAGGGTGCAACTTTAGGACAAGACCTACTGGCAAACGGTAGCTGGTTATCCTGAAAGCAGCTCCACAGAGCAGAGGGAAGAAGGTAACGTTGTGTTTTTTTGTTTTTTAAAGGCAAACACTGCCCCTCTCACATGCGATTCCACAGCCTTTGTTGGCAAATTCTGAGTACAAAAGGATTTAACCACCTCCCCCCAAAAAAGCCGAATCACAGTCATTATCCTGCAAAACAGACGACACCCCAGCCCGCTGTGTAGGGAAGACAGTGCGATTACCGCTTTACACCCCTGCCACCCCTCGGGCAGGGCTGCGACGCCAGGCTGGGCGCAGCCACACGCCCCGATCATCCCCGCTCAGCCCGCTCGGCTTCCAAGAGAGCTGTGCGAACAGCTTCTTACCTTTACTGTGTTCCCTGGACCAGTCACCAAAGCTAAGCGCTAATGATTAAAAAAAAAAAAANAAAAAAAAAAAAAAAAAAGCAAATGTGGCCGTTCAAAAAAGCCCCTCTCAAAGAACCCTTCCCGACCCTTTCCCCAATCCTGAAACAATGTCTGGCTCTTCCCTTAGAAATCGGCCCCGAAACACCACCGGCGACGGTCACCTTACTCGGAAAGGGGCGACGTGGGAAGCGCTGCTCGGCGCGGCGGCGAGGCTGGCGGGGCGCGCGGCTCCTCTGCTCGCTGCCTCCGGCTGCTGCGTGCACAGCTCGCGCCCGCCCAGCGCAGCAGTAGTAGGAGCTGCCCACGGAGCGGCCGCCGTGTGTGTAGCAGCGGCGCCTGCAGCCCAGGGACTAGTCCCCACCCAGCTTTGTCTTCAGTCATCGCTCTTTCTACAGGAAGCGGCACATCTCCCACTTCCTCCTCGGCTTGGTGGCCGCGGCTGCTTTCTCCTTTCCCTCCCATTCCGCCTCAGGGCTCGCTAGGGCTTTCGCCTTGCCTTGGGCCACTGACACCGCTGGGCCGGGAGAATCCCCTGGACCCCTTTGTTCCCAGCCCCTTGGGCGCTGTCTGCCCCTTCCCCTTCCCCTTCCTCCCTCACCCTCACCTCCCTCACCCTCACCCTCACCTCCACAGCCGCCTCAGCCGCGGCCCCTGGCCTGCGCACAGTCTGCCTTCTTAGCTTGAACTTGGCTTGTGTTCATTGCTGCTGCTGCAGCTGTTCTTTTGGGGAGAGGGGGCCGGCAGCCCCTAGCCAGGCTCTGGCCCTGAGCTCGGGCCCCAGCCTCAGTGACTCCTGATTCACTGCAGGCCCTTAGCTAGCTGGATGCTCCTGGCGTCTTGCTGCAGCGTTTTGCTCTGTGGCCAGCATTCCAGATGCCTAATCTCTCCAAGGTCCCACTACCACTGAAGTCTCGCTTAACCCACATACTCAGAAAAGAATGGCCCTGATAAGTATTCTTGTGGGGCACGGAGCTAAGCCAAGTCCTGCAGTGCGACCTGTAGCCTGACAGTGAGCACAGATTCCCAAGATTGTTGATGGTGGGAAGGAAGGAGGTGGTCCTAAGTGCTATATAGCCCCAGCCCAGAAATAGAGGCCTCTTCCGCACCCCCACCCCCCACACTGGTAGAACTGAAAGGACCAGCAGAGTCCTTGCCCTCACTTTAGGAGTGGTGCAGCCTTATGGACAAGGGTAGAGACTGCAGGAAGTCTTTTCATCCACCAGGATTTGAATCCAAGCTGTCATTACTGACTATATGAATTTAGGCAAATTTATTTCATTTCTACTGGCCTCGATTTCCTCATCTGCAGAATGGAAATGATTATAGGCACACCCCACAGCAGAAATCTGAGGATTAAATGAGATGGTGTGCAAAAACATTGTAATAATTCCTGAAACATAGGAAGTGTTCAATACTTATTAGCTCCTAGTACTTTCAGAGGAAGGTGCAGCTCAGAGAAGGCAAGTGACTGCAGCAGTCAGCAGCCAAACCAATTCCTTTCGGGATCCCCCACAGGTAGTACATCCATGACCATACCCTGATGTTCTTGGTGGCAATTTATTCAGCTTGCCAGTCATTCTCCCCCAATACCAACATAAGGTGTTTTGCAGAAGCTACAGATTCAACACAGGCTGGGGGTGGGGAAGTCCATCTAGTGTCCAGGTTGCACGGCTAAGAAACCTCTCCTCAGGAATCATTGGCTGGAAAGTTAATCTTCCTGAGCAACAGAGTTCTTTCCCAACTCCACTTTTAAAATCCAGCCTTGCCTTAACCGTTCCAGCAAGTCAACGAACAGGAAATGTTGGAAACCTAGGGCTGATGCAGGATAACTGGATCCTCAGGTAAGCCACCAGTAAGTCTTCCTAAACAGCGTTGGGGACTGCAGCACATTAGCCCAGAAGGCACAGAATTCCACTTCTATGACCTGTTCTAAGACAGCCCAGGACACTCTTTGTTTTCCTTTGATGTCCCATGAATAGTTTCTTTATATCTTCCTGGAAATCTTTGATCCAAAAGGACCCTGATGCCAACTCACTAACATTAGAAAATGACAAATGGATTGGTTAAGATATACAATGAGGAACTACTTTTGAACCACCAGCAAATGGAGTTGTAGTGGGGCAGGATTGGGCATAGACTCCCACAGCCTCCTACAACCCAATGAAAGTCAGACATGGATTACCTCCAAATCAGGAATCTTGGTGCCAGGGGTTAGCAGAAGTTTTTATATAAAAGTTTAAATATATATGCTACCAAGTCTAAGAAAAATGAGAAGCACAATTATTAATGGTTGGGAAGATTAGAGAAACTAATCTTTGGTTAATTTTAGACTAATGGATTCTAGCTTTAACTCTGGATTCAAATACGTCTTCTTCATATTTTAATCCTCTCTCTCTTCCCATCTCACTCTCCTCTCAACCATCAGAGTGGTTGGTACTTAACTTTTTGTCTACATAGGAAAACCTCTCTCAGACAATAACATCTATAGGAAGTTGGCTGGTTCTGCTTGGTCCTTCGTCTCTGGCCCTTACAAAACTCTCAGTAGGTTAACCTGTCCATTTCTGGGAAGTGAAAACTAGATTTTAAGATCTTTCTCTTCCTGTCATTAACCTCATTGCTTTCAAGTGGTCCCAATAGCCTCTTTTTCTGGAGAGAAAAGAAAAATGTGGGGGTGTAGATTGGCTAAGAGGGAAGATTATTCCAGTTCCTAGCTCTTTGTCTGCAGAGTGTTCATTTCTTAGGAGATATAATTACATCTCACCATTAACAGTTCATGCCATCGGTAACTAAATATGAGCCCATCCTAAGATGCATAAAACAAAAGCCTGTAAAATCTAATATTCATCAGTGGCCCTATTTGTAAGCATTGATGCCTTGTATTTCTTACATCTACCTGGTAGAAGAGCTGGGTGGTAATAAAGAGAACATCATTTTGGCCTGATCTCTCTCCTGTATTATTGAGCATTCTAGCTGGATGTCCCATGGAGGTACTTAATATGAAAATTCCCTAAATTTTATATATATATATATATTGCTTCATCCAAAGCTTGTTCCCCTTTCTATATCACCATTTCATTGAATGAGGAATACAAACCAGCTGTCACAACAGAAATATAAGAATATTACCAGAACCATTTATCTTTGTTACCCCATGTCTGATTTAAAGTTCCTGATCCTTTCATTCCCATCACCAGACTATCTCTTTGACTACCCCACCCCACTCCCATACTCTGCGACTGTCTTATTACAGAAACCCCTTGGTTTTCCCTGTATGACTGCAATACTCCCTCCTACCTGCAGTCTCTCTCCCTAGCCAGGACCATCAGAAGTACATATCTGAAATGAAGAGTTGAGCAGGTCACTCTGCCCTGCTAAAATTTCTCAGTACCTCCCCTCCCCATCACTTTCCAGATACACATTTTAATTCCTTTGCATGGAATGCATAGGAGACATTCTGAAATGCCACCCAAGGACACTCTAACCTTATTATTTAACCTGTTGCGACCCCACCTCCACCCATCCTACATCTACCTTTATGGCGGGTTTCTCACGGAGCCATGCTCTTTCCTCCTCTGCATCTTGCCATATGCTCTTCCTTTTGCAAAAGGTGTTCTTTTTCCTTCATCTCTTTTGCCTGGGCAACCCCCCCTTATCCTGGCCGACTCGGCTCCTCTCAGAAGCCCTCCCCAGCCGCAGGTGCAGAGCACAGTGTGTCTTGCTCTGTGTGCACCTGGTCCCCTGCCTCTGTCTCCACTTCTGCACTAACTGCATTGGTTCAATGAGTTGCTATAGGTCCACTTCACTCAAGGCTAGGGCCATAATCTATTCATCTTTGCTTGTCACACACTAGATAGTTAACAGACGTTTGGATAACGAAAAAACGTCACTGGCAGAAATTCCAAAACTGCTTTTGTATTCCTTTGGGTGACTAAGGAGGAAGCAAAAAGGAAGTTTCTGATATGAGAAGTTGGTCATAGGATACGAAACAATAGCCCCTCTATTTATTTATTATTTATTTATTTTTGCAAACTGTCTACAGAAAACCATGGCACATGCATCCCGAATGCTAAATATTTGTTATATAGGTAACCCTAAAGAATCTGGGACAACTCCTGGTTCCATTTCTGCGGTGAATTGCTTTCAAGCACAGTCTGGCAATAAAAAGTAATTAAAAAAAAATTTTTTTTAAAGAAACAGAAAAAGAGGAAAGAAAATGATTCTTCACTTGCATTTCTGGATGAACTTCGAAGAGAAGAATCTATACGCCAGAAACATTTTTTACATTCCCTCCTGCGCTCCCGTTCGCCACTCCCAGCTGTCCCGGAGCGGCTCCCGTGTCAAATCCTGGCTCCCGTCCTAATCTCGCTGCGATGGTGCTGTTGCGCCTCTCACCCTCCCCCGGCCCCGCCCGCTGGATCTTTGCTATTCTGATGGACTTGCCTTCTCTGGCTGAGACCTCCCTCCTTTTCTGTCCATGTCTCAGTTGCCGTCTCTCTCTATCTTTCCTCATCCTACTTATCAGAAGGGAGCCGCGAGCTGCACGAGCAACGCCAGTCCCTGAGCACATGCGTGGGCTGCGAGGAACAGGGAAAGGTGAAATGGGAACAAGGCAAAGTCATACACTAATCAATCTTGTCCACGGATATACACTGATGAAACATTTAATGGCTTGCTTCATTGTGCCAAATAGTCATTAAAAATAAATAGATGAATCATCGAGCTATTACTTTATGACAGAAAAAAAACAAGGACAGAATTCAAGGCATTTCTTGGATTTACTCAAGGGACTAAAAGGCTCTCTGAAGACTTCTTCAGAAAGAGGCATAATCATAATCTGATATGTGTGTCATAAAATCATCCCCTCCCCCAGACATCTGAGCCAACCCCCAGCTGTTAGGAGCCAAGAAGACTGAATCTTATCTGGTTTAAAGAGAGTTAGGGAGGAGGGGGAGCAGAATTAATCTTTCTTAAGAGAGAGGCGCTGACCCTCACAAATGAAAGCGGTTAGTCTCTGTCTCAGAGCCCGGCTAGTAGGTCAAGGGGTTTGCAGAGTGATGGCCAGCTCTTCCTCCAGAGAGGGTAAAGTGTTAGAGGTGAGAGTTCTTCTTTCCCTTTGCCCTGGGCAGGGATAACTAGGGGATTAAGTGGAATGGTGTGAAGCCCCCCAGATTCTTCTCTGATATTGCCTGAAATGTCATCAAAATTGGGTTTTAACCCAAATGTATATAAGTACGTGTTGCATACATAAATCCTTGGGAGGTTGTCAGTGATGAATGAGTTCAAGAAATTTGCTTTCCTAACACCTCATGAGAAAAAGACAAGTGTTGATGGGAAGGAGAAGGGGATGGGCTTGGAGCCCAAGGGCAGGCAGAAGCTGGGAGGGCTGGAGGGCTC